GTCTTGGGGGTGGGCATAAAGGGACTGGATTCAAAATGTGACAGCTTGGGCTTCAGTATTTCCCAGCTCAAAATCTTTAGCAGTACCCTAATCCCTCCTTTTCTCCAGCTTTCCCCACAGAGCTGGCTTGTATAGCAACAATGCGAGTTGTTTATGCAAATTGCTACTGAAGTTAATCTGTTTTATTTGGAATCCCTAAGAGGGTCTGTGTGATGCCTGGTTATGTTTATATGTATGGGATGGGAGGGTGTGAGTGTAAGGTGGGGAATGCAGGTCAGAATAGTTCTGATTGGTTGGAGAAAATAGGAGGGTTGGTAAGGATTTTGAGAGGCAGTTGTTGTGGAAAGACTGGAGAAGAGCGTGGTGTGTGAGTCTGGGGGTCAGAGAAAGGTTGGAGAGAAAGACTGAGATGAGGAAGAGGTAACAGGGTCACAGAGGAATAAACACCTAGGCATACACAATGTTCTTTTCACACTGTTATCTTTTGTTTAGTCGTTGTGTCTGATTCTTCGTGACCCCATGGACCAGAGCACGCCAGGCCCTCCTGTCTTCCACTGCCTCCCGGAGTTGGGTAAAATTCATGTTGGTAGCTTTGATGAGACTGTCCAGCCATCTCGTCCTCTGTCGTCCCCTTCTCCTCTTGCCTTCACACTTTCCCAACATCAGGGTATTTTCCAGGGAGTCCTCTCTTCTCATGAGATGGCCAAAGTATTGGAGCCTCAGCTTCAGGATCTGTCCTTCCAGTGAGCACCCAGGACTGATTTCCTTCAAAATGGATAGGTTTCGTCTCTTTGCAGTTCAGGGGAGTCTCCCCCAGCGTCACAATTCAAAAACATCAATTTTTCGGCGGACAGCCTTTTTATGGTCCAACTCTCACTTCCATACATCGCTACTGGAAAGAACATAGCTTTGACTATGCGGACCTTTGTCGACAAGGTGATGTCTCTGCTTTTTAAGATGCTGTGTTGGTTTTTCGTTGCTTTCCTCCCAAGAAGCAGGCATCTTTCAATTTGGTGGCTGCTGTCACCATCTGCAGTGATCATGGAGCCCAAGAAAGCACAATCTGTCACTGCCTCCATATCTTCCCCTTCTATTTGTCAGGAGGTGATGGGACCAGT